CCCCAAAACCCCAAAACCCCAAAACCCCAAAACCCCAAAACCCCAAAACCCCAAAACCCCTTTGATTAAAAATTTAATTGAAATTAATTTGACCTCAATGTCTCAAAAAAGTTGTGATTCTTATCCCGGTCCTTTTTCCGAGATATCGTGTTTCTACTAATTCAAGCCCTTTTGTTGCTTTGAGAAGTCAGTAATCGAGGAGGTGAGCCCATTAAGTCACCTACTTTATGATCAAATCCATCAAACTTAGAAGCGAAATGGTTTTTGTTTGAAAGCCCACTAAATGGTTTTACTCTATTCCCCATTGTAGAAGCAGTACTGACAACAGTTGATCTTTGGCTTCTCTTAGTTCTAAATCCCTGATTTGCTGTAGATAAATGCCTTCTGCTTAATGTTCCAGTCATATAGCCTTGATATTTCGGCCTTGGAGTCATCATCAGTTTATTGTTTTTCTCAGAGCTTGTCTTTATCATTTTTGGATCTTCTACAAAGTTATCATTAAATCTAAAATTAGTCTGAACTTTATTATTTGTCAATAGTTTTATAGCTTCTTCAGTCCCTAGAGAAATCTTGTTCACTAAGGAAGGCCTATTAGTATTCCTGCTCCGAACAGATCGTTTTGAATGACTCCGTACTGACTTTTGTGAGCTTGCTAAGAATTTTCTCTGACCACTCGCTTCATAATCAGAGCCAATATTCTTCCCAGGAAACATGAAGTCTGAAGACTTTGTATTCATCAACTCATTATTAACTTTATGCCTATCAGCAAGGTTCTTCCCTCCAACTATTTTGCAATATTCCTTGCGGGTCATTTGATTGGGAGTGTGAGGAGCTGGTCCTTTCCTGAATCTTGCTCCAACATCCTTCCGGTACTTGACTCCTTCAGATATCTGAAAATATTCATCTAGGTTGATTTCCTTGGTTTTGCTCTCAATTAAGTTCGGATATTTAGAGAACCACTTTTTCTGGAAGTCTTGTTCGCTGAAATCCATGTACTTATTTAGCATCCTCCATGGTCAAGAACTCTTCCAAATAGTTCCGATCGTTATTATACTTTCGCTTCTCTAGTTTAAAGACTTGGGTGGCTTCGCTAATTCCTTGGTCTTTGAAATTAAAATGTGGAGGAGCAGAGTTCTCGTCAAGATCAAAAGGACTGTCTCCAGTCTTCTTGATCTTCATAGGCTCTCCTCTGTGGTCAAAGGTAATGGGATGCTTCAAAATTTTCTTAAGCATGGCTTTGCGTTCCTCCTGGTATTGTCTTTCAATCTCCATTCTTTCAAGCATCTCAGTATATTCCTTCTGTTTCTGTTGCTCTTTTCGAAAATAAAGTTTTCTGTTAGCCTTTATTATCTTATTTTCCTGTTTTTGAGCATCTGTGTAAACTTCTACTGGGTCTTCAACAGGAAATTGCTTTATCCTAAGCTTCTTTTTAGGCTCCCTGGGCTTCTTTACAGCCAGTTTTTTCTTCGGATTTTCCACTCGCTGAGAGTTAACAGAAGACTTCTTAGAGCTTAACTTCTTAAGTCTAACTGAGGACTTTTTCAAGTGGTACTCTTTTTCAGAATCTTCTTGTTCTTTATATATTTTTCGGATATTCATTTTATGAGAAATAGTATCAAGCCCTCACTTAACAGGCTCATCAAATTCATCATATTGGAGACATCTATTATCAACTTTATGGTATGCACAACTTGGAGGAACCTCATCAGGCGTTTGGAATAACCACCAACTGAATTTCTCAAGATGATCAAATATGAACTCAACTGCGAATGGCTTTTGCATTCTCCTGATTTCAATCTCTGTAACTTGCTCATCAACCTTAAGGAGCAGTTGTTCTAAGACACTTAGAGCAGCTGTGAGACTATGCTTATCCACCTGCGCTTTCATATATTATTAACAATATTTTATTTTCAGAAATGTCATTTTGGGGTTTTGGGGTTTTGGGGTTTTGGGGTTTTGGGG